CCCCAGGGGCCTGCAGCCTGTGTGCCCCCCTCCACCCCGGGCCGGGGGTTGTTGCTGGCCCCCGGTTTCCCTGGTGTCGCGGCTGGGGCGTCCCGAGGTCGCCTTGGGGCTGTGGCGGGTCTGCAAGGAGAGGGGTTGGCATGGAGAGCCGGCCGGGGGGCAGGGGTGGGAACGGGGCAGCAGTGAAGAAGGACCCTTCCTCAGGTGCTTTTCCCCTTGGAGGAAACCGGTGGTTTATTCTCCTGAAGCCAACTTTACCCGTGTTGATTTCCTGCACTATTGCCCTCTCATACACGCAGAATGCACCAGGCACCCCGTGACTGCCTCAGCTAGGCATCTCTGGCTGCTGGATAAATCCTTGACGGGTTGTTTTTTTATCTCTCTTGCACCACTTTTCTGCAGGCAGCCTGTCTGTAACAAGCCAGGGTGTGTTTGTGCTCTGTGACACAGTCTTCTGCAGAAGAGTTTGAGGATATTTGGAGCTCGTGAGTGTTGGCAGTTTAGAGGAAACCACAATCTGGCATGAAGTGATAGTCCTGGGCTGTTCAAGTAGGGGTTGGGTTCTGTAAATCTCATACTTTGCTGGTTTGTAAGATTTATTGCCTAGCAAATTCTGTTTACATATGTTTTTAATGGGAGAATACAGGGATACAAGAGAGAGATATTTTTGTGTTTCTTCTTGAATAGCACGACCTTTAAAAGAATCTGTAACCTCACTTGATGTGCTCTTAGGAAAGGCAGCTGTGGCTGGGACTAAGTCATACCCATGGTCTGCATGACTGACTCAGTGTTGGAGAGCAGCCCTGTCTGACACCGTTCAAATGACAGAACAGCCTGGAAGGACCAACAAAAGGCCTGCCTTTATATATCTTAATAGGTTGGAGCAGTATGAAAGAAGATGATACAACAATCTTGCCATCACAACCTGACTTACTATTGCAAACCGTGAACTGCCAACTAAGCTGCCTGCTTTGCTGCCAGAATAGTTTATGGCTGTGAGGAATCAGGTCACCCTAGAAAAATGCGGCTGCTTCTGGACAGTAACTTTTCTAACAATATCGTTCAACACTTTAGAATGAAAAATGGAGTTGCAGTATCTAGAGAAATACCTTGGCTGAGAGTGGAAGGAAATACTGGTGTGCTGCTGGTGCACGGCCCAGCTGAAGTGTGTCAGTGTGTTTGATAGTGGCAGCTCTTACTATCCTGTGAAATAAACCTTAAAGCCTGGAAAATACTTAGGAACATAAATACCTCTTTCCCTTTTGAAATGCAACTCAAGTATTGTTTGGCTGATTTCCGTGTCAAATGATTTCTGTTTTGTATTTCATTGAAGGTGCTATTAAAATCCCAACTGTTTCCGTGTCTCCAGAGGACTTGAATACAACTGCCATGGCAGAATTTGGGAATTACATTCAGGAAGGTACTAAAATTTCATCCTTAGCAATCTCTGCTACTCAATTATTTTCATAAACAAATTGAAGAGAGTATATATGGTTCTTGAATATGATGGAATGGATTTTTATTTTGTTTTTCCTCAAGAAAGGACTGGCAAAAATGACATACCTAAGTCACCTCTGCACCAGCGTACTGTGCTGTAGCAATGGCCAAAGCTAGAAGATTCAAATGTCTTTTTGCAGTGGTGGTTTTTGGTACCTGAGATAGTTAAATGACAAGGTCATTTAAAAAAAAAAAAAAAAAAAAAAAAAAGGAAGACAACCCCTGCTTCAGCCTACCTTTTTTGGCAGTCCCATCACTGCTGCCTGCAAAACAGCTGCAGCACGGGTAAACAACAGTTCCTGGGTTTGCTTAGGGAAGTCTTAAACACAAAGTGAGATGGATTGGTAAGAGTGTGAGAACAAAGCTGCACATCTGCTTCCTGAAGCAAATTTGTTGTGGCCAGTTTTATTTACAGTGCTCCCCTTTAGACTAAATAGATGGCTACTCTATGGAGTATATAATGATTAAAATTGGATGGTATTGTTAATTTTTCTTCACGTGTTTTTAATTTTTTTCTTAACAGTCTTCCCGGCTGTATTTTCTTCAAAGTTCATTCAACATGAAATTGTTGGGAAATACAGCCATCTCTTTACTGTTCAGGGTTCTGACCCTGAAATGATGCCCTATATGCTGCTCGCACACATGGATGTCGTGCCCGCTCCCCCCGAGGGCTGGGATTTCCCTCCTTTCTCAGCTGCAGAGCACGAAGGTTTCATCTATGGACGAGGAACGCTGGATAACAAAAACTCTGCCATAGTACGTCATCTTGGTAATACAATTTCAGAGAGATACAAAGCCTGAAAAAGGCAGATTGGAGGAATCTGTTCTCTTGAAATTTTCTATGTTGTCTCTCTTGCCCCTCTTTAAATGCAGGATGTTAGTGATTAATCCCTAAGCCCTGCAGTTTCTCCCAACTTTTCCTAGAGATGAAGTGGAGCGATCTTTTATTATTGAAGAAAGCAGAGTTAAAGCTCTCAGAAGATACAGAAAAAGATGTTCACAGAAGCAGATGTATCCGATTACATGCCATATTTAGATTTTATGTCAAATGCTGTCTTTGAAATCAGGGATAGACCTTTTACTTTTTCCCATGTGTCACATGGGCATTCAAAGCCAAACCTGGCCCTTTGAAAAGGCTTGAGTTTCAAAGTAAACAATGTTTATTCAATATTATAGTCAAATAACCTTGTATCTTTTATCTAGTCTGTGGCAGAACAAAGAGCTGCTGTACTAAGTACATTTGGGAGGAATGAAGTGCAAAAAAAGACTGATCTGTGAAGGATTTCTCATTTGGGAAAAGGTTGATGGAAAAATTAATAAGGAAAACAGTCCTTCGTGACTTGCAGAGATACTTCCACGACGGCCCTGTATTTAAATTTAAACAGATGTTTAGCAAACCAGTGTCACAGATGCTGTGGCTGCTTATTGGGGCACAGGCCATGCTCCTGGAAAGTTTCTTCAGGTTGTTTGATCATCAGTTTCAAAGCCTTGCAACTTAGAACTTTGTTTTGGTGCTTCTTTCTACTGTGGACTGTGCAAGTAACTCCACAAATGGACAATAAAAATCAGCAATTTCAGGGAACACAGCAAAAACGGGTGCTGACGAGGTAGAGGTGATATAATTTCTTCTGATGTAAAGAACTAACCAGCTTAAATTGAAAAACGGATGAGATGGAATAATGTAGCAAATAATAGATTTCATTGCTCATTCTTCAGATTAAGTTTCTTGTTCTGCTTCAGTCATCTTAGCACTTTCTGTGCAAAATATACTGCTCATTAAAATAAATGGATCTGGTAGCTCAAGTCAGAGCCAAGCTGTGTGTAGGATAGGCAGTTTAAAGGAACAGTGAATTCCTTGGATAATTATAACTCCGTCGTGCTTCCTGTGCAGTTTGTCACTGACTTCATCAGTAGCAAGAACAAGCCTACACTGTATTTTGTGTATTTACACTGACGCTGTGTAGCACACTAAGTCTTAAGCATTATTGATCAAAAATATTGCAGTGTGTTTTCCAGAAAATACGAATATCATCAGTAGGAGTTGTAGAAATAAAAGCTCAACTGTGAGCAGGACAAAGTCTCCTTAAGGGCTGTGAATGCATCGTATTTCTTATACATTGCGTTGCATTCTTTTACATTTATTCTCTTCTCTAACACACAAGAATAGTACACTACGTTCTGCTTTTTTTTTTTTTTTTTCTGCAGGGTATTCTGCAAGCTCTAGAATTCTTGCTGAGAAGAAATTACAGACCCCGCAGATCTTTCTATGTTGGTATTGGACATGATGAAGAGGTATTTTCTTTCGTTTCATCAAAATAACGAGTTGTTTGCATTGTTCATGTATGTAACAAGGCTTCATTTTTAAACGTTGTTTAGCTAGAAAGTCTTTCCTGTTTATCTTGATTATGTGGGTAGATACTGTGTCAGGCACGTGGTCATAGTTATATATTGATTGTTTGGCTTTAGATGACATGGACAAAGGGTTTGGTGTGATGAGCAAAGGGAAAAGAACACAGCAGAGTGTTAGTTCAAATTCTTTTCTGCATGGAAGGTTCAGCCGGAGTCACATTTTGGAGTAAATATAGGACATGAAAAGCTGGCTTAAGATTTACATGGTTGTTCCAAATGATCAGGAAGAACTAACAAAAATATTCCACTTTATTGTGGGTATGCCCCCTAGTAAACAGTAGGAAGAGATAGATGAGGTGGTTTTGTTTACTCATTTTCAAAATATAAAGCCAAAGAACTGCTGATAGTTAAAATGAAAGTCTTTTAGAATGACTAATCTGGAGTTTCTAGACCCGAGATATCCCTGTGTCCAGGAACTAGTAGGATTCATAGCAACGTTCAGTGACTGGTGAATGAGAGCATTGCTTGGGGTGGATGTAAGTCTGTCTGCTGCTAGGCCGTTAACCTCCAGACAGTTTTGTGGGGAATAATCTTTTCTTGACAGGCTGCTATGGAGCTGTTCACTAGGGGTTTCTTGGGTTCTTTGCCTTCTAACACTGGCCACTGTCAACAGCAAGATGTTCTCCAGTGTTCTTCCCAAAGGCATGGCTTGATCTGACCGGTTCCTCTGCCTGGATTCTGGCAGGTGTTTGGTCAGAAGGGAGCAATGGAGATTGCAGCTCTGCTGGAAGCCAGAGGAGTGAAACTCTCCTTCTTACTGGATGAGGGGAGTGCAATACTGGATGGCATCATTGCGGGAGTGAAGAAGCCAGTAGCTGTGTAAGTAAAAGAGAACACAGTTCACCATGATGAAAGTGATCCATATTCAATAATTAATTTGTGAGAAACGACCTTGCTGATGTCAATAAAATATGTTTTCAAGGCATATGGCAGTGTTGGCCTTTCTAAAGCTACAGCAGTGGCACAAAGTGCAAGCAAAGGGCCTCCAGAGTTTGCTCGCTGTCCATCACAGCTGTGCTGACAAAAGCAGAATGGTCCCCTGAGCTAGTGCAAGCACGTTAATTGTATGCTGTAAAGTCTGCTCGCTGGAAAAGCAGCCAACACATCAGTCCTCCAAACATTTAAAGATTGTGTTTAGGGATTTGTTGTTGCTGCTTTTTTGGTGTTTTTTTATGGTACTCAAAAATATGCAGTGTCATTCTTTTCACCTGTAGTCTGTGCATGTGTGTTTGGAGTTGCATTAATCATTTATTTTATCTACACATCGTTGACCAGAATTGCTATCACAGAAAAGGGTTCAATAACACTGAACTTCACTGTGGAAAAAGAGCCAGGACATTCATCCTTTCCTCCTAAGGAGACAACTATTGGCATTCTTGCAGCAGCGATGTCCAGGTGAGAGCTTCCCTGTCATCTGATGTTGAAGACAGACAGGCAGACTCTTAAGTCACTGATACGAGACTTTCTTTTTCAATAATTAATTTGCTCTGTAGAGATTGCTTTAACTGGGTTGCAGAATTTCTTTGGAATTTATTCTTGCACATACCTGCTCCCTCTAGCTGGTGATTATCCAAGCCAGTCAACCTGGTGTAAAGTCAGAATGTGACTGGGTAAATCATCTCATTATGTGTCTCTGTAGGTATCAAACTGGCTAATAAATACATATTTTAGAAAAAAAAGATTAGTATGTCCAGATGTGATGGAATTTGGTGTGATATTTTTTCTAGATTACCATGTATTCTTTACAAGAGTCAGGCTTTTTGATTTTTTTTCAGCTCTAGAAAGAAAGTCTTTGCATGTGGCTGGGGTGCTCAGAAATCTGTGGTGGAGCTGTGCTCGCAGATTTACTTACCAGGAGAGGAAAGTGTGATTGCATCTCAAATACATGGATACATTTTAGAAATCAAATCCCCATCAACCTTCTGGAGCAGTAATAGTCAGAGATTTTTTTTTTAAATTTCAGATGTTGTTTTGCTTTGCTGTAGGCTGGAGCAGAATCCCTTGCGCAATCTCTTTGGCCATGGGCCAGAACTCATGACTATGGAGCACCTTGCATCAGAGGTGAGGAAAGAACTATGATTTCATTCTCAGATTTTCATATTAACAAGTGAAGAGTAACCCAGCATATGAATTTAGAGCATAGTTATGTAGTTCCTGGAAAGGGAAAGACTTAAGCTGGCCTTTCTCCCAGATAATTGTTTCTGCTAGAATTACTTCAACCATAGCCAAGTGACTGCACTCTGCTCCTAAAAACTAGAAACTTTCTGATTTGTGGTTTTATTTCTTCCACTTAGTTCAGCTTTCCTCTTAATCTCATCATGAGCAATCTGTGGCTGTTTTCACCTATTGTCAGCAGGTAAGAAAATGTATCCTTGATGACCGTTCACAGGCTCTCACCCTTAGAAGATGACCAGTAGCCCTCTCTAGTCTTCTCAGGAAACAGGAAACCAGTTATACCATTTCATAGTTTAGATAATGTCAGTGCTTTACCATTAATAACTATTGTTATTAATAACTGTTGTTATTAACAATAAACGTTATATTAACATTTACTGTTAATAACAGTTGTTAATTGAATAGGCCATCATTCAGCTTATTGCCTGTGTAACTGTTGTGCTTATGTTTTATCAATATTAAGCTTCTTTAAAAAATGTTGGGTGTTTTTTTTTTTCTTTTTTGTAAGAGTTCTTGCCTGGAAACCTTCCACCAATGCCTTGATTCGAACTACTACAGCAGTCACCATGTTCAATGCAGGAATCAAGGTAGCTTCATTTTGATTTTTCTCCATGTAGTACGATGAGACAATTAGGGCATTTGGTTTCCACCTATTTATATCCAGTTACAAGATCAGTATGGGCCCTGTTCTTAGAGCCTGTGTGGTGTCACCACCAGTCTCATTTTTAGTTTAGATGTGGCTTGGATTTAGCTACAGTTGACAATTACTTTGTTTCTTAAGTATCTGTTCTCTTTTACAAAAAGATCTCTGTAAACCAGTGTTAAAATTGTTTATATTTTAGGATGGACAAGAGTATTTTCTGTGTATTCATACAAAGTATCGATGACAGGATTTGAAATGGTCACAGTTGTAAACACATCCCTAGCCTAGGTGGGGTCGACTGGGTAGGAACACTTACCTCTGTTAGAACAGGGTTAGTGTGCACCTTGGACTGAGAGATAACAGGTTCTGGCTGATACAGCCAGATCTTGCCCTGATAAGGAGGTGTAGCTATCCAAAAATACTGTAGCCCTAGAAAATAAACAGGCTGTTCAGTGTGTCCCTGAAAATATCTGTTACTGAAAGGCATCACTGGACAAGAAGACAAGATGCAGTGGCTGAACAGTGACACTGAGTGGCCAAGAGAGAAGTGACACCCTGGTGTTTTGTTTTGTTTTTTTTTCCTAAGGATGATATTCTTTTTGTTTAACAAAATTACAAATATTAATTCTGTAGAAAAGAAGAGTTATGTGTCTTCAGTACCATCATTTGTTAGGCAACTGAAATGTCTCATGCATGAGGAAAAGCAATATGACAGTGAGGTAAAAATATTGCTTAAAAAACCCAACGTAAACTTTCAGAATTTCTCAATATAAAGTTTCTGAAGGAAGAGGGCTTAACTCAAGGGAAAAACTGTATAACAGCTAACTTCGTTTTTGTTGAATTGATGAATATTTCTTTGTGTCATTACCTGCTTAAGTGAAATTTACAGTATTTTAACACAGTGCAGAAAGAGATCACACTCAGCGGAAACAGGGAAGCACTAGTCGGAGGGCTAGAGTTGTTTGAGCAGTCTCAGAGTTTGCGGTTGGCATTTTAATTTGGTTTTAATTTCCTTTTAAGTTTCAGTCATTCCTTTTTTTTCTAGACAAACGTCATCCCATCTTCTGCAAAAGCAACTGTGAACTTCCGGATCCACTCTGCAGAGAAGGCCACTGAGGTACGTACAGTACCCCCCGGACATGGGGCTGTTCTCTGTCCCTTTCTGAGCAGGATGGCGCTCGGCCATTTGTGGCAGCAGATCTGTTCTACACAAATACTCTTTTCATCTCTCCCTGTATTCATACAAGATTTGGGAATTGGACTTGTGTGGGACAGGGTTCAACACTTTGCACGACATCCTTGTCTCTAGGTTGGAGAGACGTGGATTTGGTGGATCAGGAATTGGCTGGACAGTCGCACTCAGAGTTCAGTCAGTGGCTCCATGTCCAAGGGAGAGCAGTGACGAGTGGTTATCTAATGTCTTTTCTCCTCCTCTGAGATGGATTGCCAAGTGCATTGTTTACTATGGCTTCTGAATGTGGAGCAGAGCAAGAGGCAGACCAAACTGGGAAGCCTGCCTTGCAGTTACAGCGAGCAGATTTCAGAAGTCGTCTTGTGCCAAAGAGCACAGGGATCATATGTGATTATGGAACAGAAGCGTTAAAGTTTGTGACCTGTGAGAATATGGGAATTTTGCACACTCCAGCAGGTATGACATGCCTGTCCAGCTAAGGACAGCTGTGAAATATTGTCAGTAAATAATATCCTCCCTTCCCAAACCTTTGCTGAAAGTTTATCTCTCTGAAGCTTTTCTGGATTATTTACTTGGATGACCTAATTACCAAGTAGCATCAGCTCGACCACCTGCCTTTCAGGACTGAAGCAGTTCAGGAATACCTTGAGACAGTGATATACACTGGGGTTAAAACAAATTAGCTTAAGTGTCAACCATCCGCTGAGTAAGAGAAAGGTTTCAGTCACACAGTTTCAGTCCTAACTATGCATCTGTATTTGCAGCCAGAGTTGGAAACTCACAGATTGTTTTCTGGAAAGTGGCACATTTGCTGATATCTAGAAGGGATGCTCTCTCATTTCTTCTGCTTATTTAATCTCTGTGCTTTACCCGTAGGTGCTAGAGACAGTGAGGAACACTGTTGCAGATGACAGAGTGAAGATTGATGTAGTAGAGGCCTTTGACCCGCTCCCCATTAGCCCTTGGGATGACCAGACATTTGGAGTCCATATTTTTCAAAGAACCATTCTGGATACTTTCCCAGATGTTGACAGTGTAGTCCCAGGTAACAGCGAGCACATGATGATTATTGTTTCCTCTCCAGCTTCCGCCCTGCTTTTCTGTCCCTCATCCCCAATATTGACTTGTTTCCATTTTCTGTGTACTTCTCCACCCCAACTGTTAACTACTGGAAACAGCTGTTTTTTCCTCTTTTTATTCCATTCCCTCTTTATGTTCTAAAAGTTTTAATGCTGTTTTTTAATAGTGGAAGTAAAAAAGCAAACAGGAAGCTGACAGAAACAATGAGCCTTGAATCTGACTCCCTGCACATACAAAGAAATCTCTTCAGGGAAGAAAGGAATTGTGAGGGAGAGTAGGAGGTCTTCTTGCTTTAGCTCTTCTTTTATTGTTTTCGTAGCTGGCAAAGCCATTCCTGCTTTTCTGTATTGTTCCTTACGATCCCAGCCCCTTCCCTTTCTCACAGCTCCTTCCTAGTTCCACACTGTTTGTTGGACTGCAGTTTGAAGCTTAAACTTTTGTGGAGGCTGAGCATCATGGCTGTTCTTAGAATGATTGAATTGTATGTTCAGTTCTTCTTGTTCATGAAGAAGAGAATGTTCTTTCAGGATGTACCAATAAACTGTTTCCAGTGACTTGCTTTTGGTGTAGCTAGGGGTTATACAGAACTGTTACCAGATGCCTTTCCTTCCTTCTGTGTGGGTCATTAAGTTGCTGCTCTCATGCAAAGTAAACCTGAGTTTTTTGTTTTCCAGGCACGTGTATTGGAAACACAGACAGCAGGCATTTCACTAACGTCACAAATGCCATTTATCGATTTAACCCACTGCTCTTGAAATCAGATGATCTTCCCAGGTACTGTGCTCTGTCTGCATGTGGGCAGCTGTTCGGGGTGGGGACGAGCGAAAGAGAAAATTGATATGTGTTCGTCAGAGGGAGGAAACCCAGCCTTGTATACCTTGGCATGGGGGTGCCTCACATTCTGTTAGGGCACCATTTCCTGCAGATTTGGGTGCTGCACAAATAGGGGGTGGTGATTACACTGGGGAGAGTGTTAGCCCTGACTCTTCAGTACCTCAGATGCAGGCAGGACCTCGGTTGGGTAGTATGGCCACGCTGTGGAGCTGCCTGGGCCCTTTGTACAGCGCAGCAGGGGGAAAGGTGTTCTGGTAGTTGGCCTTAGGAGATTTCTCTGTATGTTTGGATACATGCCACCCTGAATTTGTTTGCTCCTTAAAGCTGCAAGTTAGGTTTCCTGGAGTAAAGTGGTAACAAAGAACATCATCATGCAATGGATTCTTTGTTGACTTAGTGTGTGCTAGATCTGTTTTATTGAGGTGCAGGTGATACAGGAGTGTTCTTGTAGCTGTACAGGACAGTAACATACATGGCCAAGCAATGGGCAGAGCACTGGAATTGCTCTTGTTCCATGGTCTTGTTCTGCTGTGAAACTTAGAATCAGTAAATTTGGTTGACCTGAGGGCCAGACATTGCAGTTACAGTGAAGTATTTGGTGTATTTTTATGCTGTGCATTGCTTTATGAAGTAAATGGGTGAGTAGGGTGCTGGGTATATGCAGATGGATCACAAATGCACACTGGAATGAAAAACATTCTTTTTCTTCCAGGATCCATGGGTTGAATGAGAGAATCTCTGTTGAGAATTACGAGAAACAGGTCGAGTTCCTCTTTCAGCTGATTAAAAACTGTGACACTGACAAGCTTCCGGAGCCTCACGCAAACTCCCATGAGCTGTGAGAAGAGCAGCTACTAAGGTGGACTCTGGATGGCAGGGGTCTGGTCAGAACATGCATATTGAGCACATCTGGAATCTGGGGGTTTTATGTTGTGGTTTACGTACAGATGGAAAAACTGCTGGTTGGGAAGTGTTGGGACCTGGACAAAACACAACAAATAACCCTCACTTCTGTTCCTGGTCTGATATGCAGCTGTTAATCTGATGGTATTAATTTTTTGATCACTTCTTTAAACCTCTGAAATTGGTAGTCACTTAAAATTCTAAGCTATAATCAGCAGTCCCTATCAGTAAAAGAGGTGGATCTTCCTGCGCGTGTTTCTGACAAACTCATTTTATACGGTTAATTGATTTCTGACAAATGATGTGTCTGTCAAAAGCTCATGTGGAAGGTTTGTGTCACTGGTGGAGTTGCACTAGGAGTTTGTTGCCCTGCTGCTTGGTGCAGGCTTCCTCGCGGGGTGCTGCTCTCAGCCAGCGTCACCGCGCTCTCAGCCCGTGTCAGCGTTAACTTGCTACTGCTAAGTTCTCCCATGCATGCACTGATTTCTGACTCGATTTTAAACTACTGAGCTCTAGAAGTTCTAGCTGTGTTGCTTTATCTGATGTGGCCCAGATCTCAGAGGTGCTGAAAACTTTTCTTCCTGTCTTTTTTTTTTTTTTTTTTTTTTCCCCCCCCCCTCTCACTTTTTGGCTCATGGCATGTTGTGCAGCTGGGTGTCAGAATAAGGAATTGCAGCTTTAAATAAAACTAAATCTGTGTTGTCTGCTCATACATTCTCTTTTCACTGAATCCATTTCTGTAGTTTATCTTTTGTTCCTCTGAGAACTTTATTTAGTTAAAGATGGTGAAGCCCTTCTCTTCCAGTTCAGGGGGAGCAGTCTTTGTTCCTTCACTGCCTTGTGCAGGCAGTTCTCGCTTCGCTGCAGCACTTGTGTTGACTCAGCTCTGGGAATCCTGCAGACAGGCTGTTGATGTCGACTCTGTTTCATCCTGCACTTCTTGCACTAGCATGCCTATCTTTGTTAGCACTCAAGGGTTAAGCAGTCTTTCAGCCTTGATAATCTCTTTAGTTGGGGTTACCACTATTGATTAAACAAAGAAAGAATTAAGAACCAGATGTTAGCCAAAGGAAAGACTGGGTGCAGGCTGCTTTGTTGTACTGAGAGGCAGACTCTGTGCTGCAGGTACTAGTGCAAGTGCTCCTCTTGCACTGTTGCAGAGATGTGTGTCTCTCAGAGTCTGAATTATACACTGGAATGGGTGGTTGTTCCGCTCTAAATTCAGATTGTGAAATGTACTGGAATGTACAGGAAATACCCTGAAAAACAGTGATGGAACCGATTCCTATTCTTTTCCGTTCACCATTCTCTTTATTTATTTGCAGTCTGATCTTATCAGTATGGCCAATGGGCTAAAACTGTATCAATCTACTAAATAATTGAAGCCAGATTGGCATTTTCATCTAATAAAATAAGGAACACAGATTCTTTTCTGATGATTCTTTAGTCTTTTTATCTAACTGTATAATTGCAGTGAAGTCATTTCCACACCTGATTCTGCATTAGCGCGAGTCATAAAGTTTCCATCAAAACAAATCCACATTTTTTCCAGCCTGCTTTAATCTTTGCACCCTCCCTTGTGCTCCCCTTTCTATATAAAATTAACTAACTCTGTTTATGCATTCTTGGGTAGTAAATAGCTTCCATCTTTCACGGTTTATTGCATTTTGTCTGTGTGCCCTAACATCATTGATTTGTTTAGCCACACATCTATGGCTCTTTTGTGAAGGTGTCATTCCTGTTGCAGACTCCTGTTGCAGACACAGCAGAAGCGATGTGTCAGGGTACAGCACAGGATAAAAAACACCCCCGGGAGTGGGAGGTGGAGGAAGGTGGTTGGTTTTTTTCTTTTCCTGGCAAGTCTCTATAAAGATGACTGAGTCTGAAGCCTTCACTATGACTATGGTAGTATGGGGTCAATATTGTTTACCAGCTTCATGAATGAGCTGGGTGATAGGGCACTGCATCCTCAGCAAGTTTGCAGATGATGCAAAACTGGGAGGAATGGTTGACTCGCCCCAACGGTTGTGCTGCTGTTCAGAGGGACCCCGACAGGCTGGAGAAATGGGGAAAAAAATAAAGACTTTCTTGAAGTTCAGCAAAGGGAAATGCAAAGTCCTCCACCTGGGGAGGAATAACCCCGTCCTGGGGATTGCCTGGCTGGGAAGCACCTTTGCAGAGGACACGGGTCCTGGTGGACAGGTTGAGCATGAGCCAGTAACATGCCCTGGAGGCAAAGAAGACCCAAGAGCATCCTGACAGTAAAAATTAGATGATATCCTGAGGTCCCTTCCAATCTCAACCGTTCTGTGATTCTGTTGTAGGGCACAAGTTGTGAAAATCCTAACTTGGGTCGTGCTGTTGTGCAGTGAAGGCAGTGTTGTGGTGTGAAAGGTGGGATTTGTTGCCTGTTGTAATAGCAAATGGGTCCTAAAGACATAAAACACCCTTTCAATGTCCTGTCCCCAACCAAAAATCACTCCTCTCTCTGTTTTGGTGAGGATTGTTTTTTAAAGGACATTCACCTGAAGATTCATTTTGCTGCTGAAGGAAAAGCGAAGGGCAAACAGTGCTGGGAAGGCAAGGTTTTGGCAGGTACTGTGCAAATGTGTGCCATGAGGTTCCTTTTGCTAATGCAGCTTGTTGCAGAGCCTCATTAAGTGCTACTCATCAGCCAGTGCTGAAATCATGCAGTGCCTCTGCACTGAGTAAATGCTCGGCAGAGCTTTACTGCAACCTGAAGCCACTAAACCGAAGTGTTTTAAACCGACCCTGTCTTGCAAGATCCAATGGTGAAAAAGCACCTTCCCCATCTCTGCCCTTTTTTTTCTAGTCACTTCTAATTGTTTGTGCTTTTTTCCATGCAGCAGCTTTGTCCTTCATATTCTTAAGTCTCCTTATTTTATCATATTAGCTGCCATGTCATGCTTATCTGGCACAGTTCTGAAGGGTGGCTCAATGGTTTGGTATCTGCACACCTGTCCTGACAGAACAGTTTTCTTTCCACCTCATTTTACTGCTCCCATGAGATGTTTTCAGAGAATGTCTTGTCTTGAATGATATTTGAAATCTTACTGTCATCATGTAAATAATAGTGTAAGGATGTGCTGGCCTTTTCTGCTAAGATCGTATACAACATGCATTGTATGAGTAGTTAATAATGCCAAGCGCATCATGAAAACACACATCAATAGCTCTGTGAGCTATTCTGTTTCTTGTAATGAGTCACTGTGCTTTTGAGCATGTGGAGCAATTACCTCTGATTCATCAGAGAAGGAAAAGCCTGATTTTCTGCTCTGAAGACGCACAACTTGGTGTCATAACTAATGCGGTTTTGTACGCTGATTGTGATAGTCCAATTCCAGTGTGTTAACACGTTGCTGTGCTATATCCATAGCAACTTCCTTTTTTTTTTCCCCTGCTTTGCAGCCACTTCTACAGAGCTGCCATTCTTCTGACAACAGTTACTCAAAGTAACATGTCTGTAGTTGTCCAGGGGTAGCAGCCTGCTAGCTTACAGACCAGCTGATTTAGGGTCATGTGGGCCTGTTACATGATGGAGAAAAGGTCACATTCCACACCTGCATTTTCTAAAGAAAGCTCTGTTGTTGGCCTCTGTTTCAAAGGGCTTGGTTTATTTTCAGCCACAAGTGACCATGGAGAGTTCAGGCACAGAGCTGGAGGAGAACGCAGGAACAAGGTGTTTACAAAATTGTTTCCTCCAGCCTTGTGTTTGACACTTGTGTTCTTGGCTGCTCTTTTGCCATTTTGTTTGGTATTTCATGGAGCTGGTGAAATCCACTTTCACAGGCAGGTGCTGTGAAATCTCCCCCACTCAGCTCAGCCCATGCTGCCGAGCCCTGGTCTCATCAGTGCCACAGAGCCAGACATCCACGGAGGAGTCAGGAGGCTGCTCAGTCGTAGCTGGCAGTACCCTTTCCCATTGTAGAGAAGCAGCCCTGACCTGTAGCTCAGCCTGGGATGCTTAATCCTGACCTTCAGTGGTCTTCAGTACTGCCAGTGCATTCAGTCCTCATCCGGAGCTCCTGTGCCGAGCTTGCTGGCACTCTGAAAATATTACACACACGTTTGTCATTTTAGTCCCCAAATCCAGGCTCTCACAGTAACTCTTTAAAGAAACTGCACTGCTATGACACATGAGGTCTCTAGTACAGCATCAACAGTTGCATGCCAACATCTCTCCGTGCCTGTATCAAGGCCTAGAGGCGTGCAGAAGTGCTGCCCAGGGAACTGTTTTCCTTAACTGAAAGCACAGGGAAGGCTGTGTGTCAGCTGAGTTGCTGTGCAGGGGGCTTGGCTCTGCTTTCCGGTTGCACAGCTTGCCGGGGCAGCCGAGATAAAGAGCTCAGCATGGTGGGGAAGGGAGTGCCCTGCCTCGCTTGGGAGAGTGCTCTGAGCCATTTAAGAGCTGTGATGGTGGGCGCCAGGGGAAGCTGCAGTCAGTGCTCAGCAGGAAGGCAAATGACCACATGGAAAGGTGGTTAATGCAGGGGGTAGGGGACAGAGGGTAAATGCTCTTTGTCACTGATGGATTTACCTGTGAGTTGGGCACAGCTTGGGCCATGGGGCATGAGAAGCAACATGCGAGTGATGTAGCATATCCCAGGGGGCTCGTCACACATCTTTTAATTTATATTTTTAATCCGACACAATTGTATGGCTTATTGTAACCCTGTAAATACTCGGATCACTTGAACACTGTGCCTGATCTTGCACTAGAAAGGCAACCGCATGGAGGGGCCTGGCTGCAGTTCAGCTATTTAACTGAGCAATCAAAAAACCTCCTTCTAGTTCATGGCAGTAATCCCCTGCTCAGTGACTGTGCTGACTGTGTGTCAGGGCTGGGGCTCTCTACATGCTCTCTGTCCCGTTAACACAGCTACAACAGGTTATTTTCATGTTTTCTGTGTGGTGAAGATGATTAGAGAAAGGCAGCAGTGGATAACCATCAATCACAGCTCGATCCAATGGCCAGAGTGAGGGATATGACCTCCTCCAAAAAGCCTGTAGGAGAAAACCTGAATTCTTTTCCAGTTTCTAACTATTTCGGCTGTATTGCAGCTACTACGTCTGGCATGTGCATATCTAAACTACCTTTACACTTCCTAGCTCGCCTACGGATCTTAGTCTAGCTTCTGTATAGGTCTGAGTTCCACCTACTTGACAAGCTGAGTAAGTACTCAGGAAGAATAATTATTATTTGCCCTGAAGCACTTTTAGCCTTCCAAGTCCACTTGGATTTTTAGATGTTGTTACCACAGTACTGCCTAGTTGTACACAGACATCAGAAAAAGTTCATCTGATGACCTCTTTGGGATTTTGGGAAGTGAGAGGGTCTTCGTGGAGTAGGCAATAGAGGGGAGTTAAGAGATGATTTTCACTGATGCTTCTTTTAATATCAGTCTCTGCTTGGATCAGCCTTGTGGTATTAGTGCTTTCTTAGCCTAATTTCTGAATATAAAAGAATTCACAGCTTATACCCGGGGCAAAGCAGAGAGGTGAGGCGTGTCCTCAGTGCCACCGTGACAGGTGTCCCTGCTATCGCTGGGGCAGCAGCTGCTGACACAGGAACCGCTGCCCGTGTGGAATGCAGGAAGCGAGGACCTTCCAGCTCCTCTCTGCCAGATGCTCTCACGTGGCAGAAAACCCCGGGGATGTACCTGACCGAGGCTGACCTGCGTTTGTCGCAGCAGGCCCGGCACGTGGGTGACACATGAACGCAGTTGGGAGCGGTAGTTGGACCTTGGAAAAAAGGATGGGGATGGTTTTGTTTGCTTCCAGACTGATAAAACAGAACTTCTGTGGTCTGTATTTCTTCTCCCAGATTGGGACCAGGTTAGGGTCAGGTGCTGAGGGTGTTGCCTGCCCTCATGAACTGCTTTTGCTCTGGGCTGACGTCTGTAGGGGTAAGTCATTATCCATAACCTATTCAGTCTGAGTTTTACCTGTTGCGATTCCTGGTTACAAGTCACGAAGCACGAGGTTCCCTCCAAACCCTTGGTCAAAGGCAGCTGGGACTCCATTCAGATCAGTGTTTAGATGTGACAGACAGCAGCGGAGCTGGAACCGAGAGCAAAGGCTGTGACAGAACACTGTCAAATTCTGTGTTAGACGGGGATTTTTGCGTGATTTGGGCCAAACCACTTTATTTTGCTGGATTCTTCTGTGAAAAGGGGCAAAATCATTCTATACACATTGTGGCCTCCTAGGCCATTACTGAGTGCTTGCCCAGAGCCAGGCAGCTGGGTAGTGCTAAAGTCACGTGGCTGCTGTAAAACAGCCACGACATTCCATGATCCAGTGTAGCTCAGTGGTGAACTCTTTCCTTTCCAAGCATTTTGTTGCCTTTGGTACCTGCTACCCAGCAATTGGAAACCCATTTCCTGCCCTTTCATCCTCCGCCTTTCTGATCTCCGTGCGTCAGCGTCGCTGGTGGGGATTTTATCTATTTCTGTTTTCTTGTCTCAGGCGGCTTTTGTCTCCATGCTTCCACTTCCTGAGGTGCAGCTGGCCGGACTGTTAATCAGCAAGGTCACATTTTGGTGTGCGTTGTTTTTAGGGGGTTGGGGGAAGAATGGTTGTTCCGGGGGAGATACAGATTTTTCCAAGTCAGGAAGGAAAGATGAAGGTGGAAAGAGAGCCTTACAGACCGGGTTTATTTGGACAAAGGAAAACGGAGGCTTGGGTTGGAGGCAGGATTTAGAACTCCGCTCCCAGCTCAAGTGTGGAGCTGTGCTTTATTATTTTATTGTCTCTGTCTCAATTTTTCCTTGGTGTCTCTTTGCTGGTGTCACAGCAGATCCTGAGAATTAGTCACACGAGTGCAGATGCTCATCACCCCTTGACCTTCAAGTAGGTTGTGTAGCAGCAGTTGGTCACAAACCCCAGTGCACTTGGCTACTTGCTGGATGACAGTGAAAGCACCCCTCCGCTCACCTGCTCCACAAATTCAGTTTTCTTAGAAGAGGCACATTTGCAAAGGTTTTTGGGCTGGAGAAAGTTAGAAGTCCTAAGTGGGTTTATCTGATCTATGTTTGTGCTGTTTTATATCATGATATATCCTGCTCTGCTTCAAGTGGGCCAGCCTTTTCTTCCAAAGCAACAAGTACTTCAGAAAGGAAGCTCCCCATGCTCGATTTTTAATATGAGCAAAGAGAAAGAGAGGTAGCACAGCCCACATCTTCAGAGAGGTCTCGGTCACAAAGGATCTCTTGCTGCCATTGACCGTCACTACCGTCGTTCCTTATTTTAAGAAAATGAAGTCACCGGCTCTAGTCACGCTTGCCTCAGTGTATCTGGGGGGGAAATGCAGTTCCTGCGCTGCCCTCCCTTTTCCCCTCGCACACATGCTGGTGTCACGGCGACCGTTATTGGCTCAAAACCTGTCTCCGAGGCATGGAGCTGGGGATCACGTAATTACTCTGGGTAATAACTGGCTGTTGGCTGTTTCCTGGGAGGAAAGGAAAGGCAGGAAGGAAAACCAACAACTGGTCCAAAGTTCCACTCGTGCAAAAAAAATAAAAGGGGAAAAAAAAAAAAAAGGAAATAAAAAGGAAAACATCAATCAGAAGAGCTGGTTTCATTCAAGAATACAGAATTCTACAGAGCAATGAGGCACTGGTCTCTAGCAGAAATTGCTGCTTTTTATGTATGTGTTTGTTGTGGGATGGTTTGGTGTAAAGCGATCCAAAGTGAGTCCATGGTCCTATTCCTGATTTTATTTGCTGAACGACCCCAGAGAAGGGTCTGGCAGGGAGGCCTAAAAGCCCGCACGTACTGCCTGTACTGTGTCGGTGCTCCTGGGCCTCGCTCCCAACATGATAAACACATCAAATCTGTGCTTAGTTAACAATTTATAGAGTTAAAATGACAAAAATGTGACTGTGACACCCCTCTCCCCAGGTGGGGAGGGCATGTCCCGGCGAGGGGCTCCCCCAGCTCGGCAGAGCGAGGGCGGCTGGACAGCGAGGAGAAGGACGTGGGAGCGTTTCCTTCCCGCGCCGCACCCCAGCAGCGAGCCAGCAGCGCCCCGGGAGCAGGTAGAGCCCCGGGGAGCACGGGGGGGAC